CAAAACGAGCGGGAGGCCTGCCCCCTTGTCTATAGTGGCCAACAACAAAGCTGAACTCACACGCCATTCCGCTTATCCTGGACAGACTTCTAGGCAGGGAAAATCTTGGGACATGCTAGTACCTGGCCCCTTCTATGTGATGTGTAAGCGCAGGCCACCAACTTTCCTTCTGACTGTTAGCCCCAAACAGTTTTGCCGCACAGTACAAAATGTCGACAACGGGAATTACTGCGTTCAGCGCTGGCTCAGTACCACCCGCCTGCATGCGTCCAGCTGCATATCGAAATAGCGGTTCAGCGTGGGACACAAGCACTTGGAACGGGCACCCAGCGATTAATGCATTCTTCAGGATCTCCCTGCATTCCACCATTGTACACACTGGAGAACGGGTGGTTTTCAATAGCTTCTTCTGGGGCGCTGCGATACATGTTATGCAGGCGCTCAAGAGGAATCAGAACGTTCTTAGGTGTGGACAACGTTGACGCAGATGCGGACTAAAAGAGTCGTACCACGATTATAATAGTATATTTCGTTCCACTCCATTTTTTCTACTTAAGTTTAAAGCAGAGGAAGCGGCCAGCATGTGATGACGTTATTAGCCGGCAATGGTCGAGGGCACTATACAGCCTAGGCTTCATTTTTGGCCTACGCCGCACATAACAAGCTTCACCTATTCACTTCTTTCCTTTGTTTCCGACGGCATCGCCCCCGTGATTACGGGAGACAGGGGCCTGAATGCAGGGGACGCCCAACTCGAGGACGGCTGGCTTCTGAGAACGGCATCGTCAGAGCCTGTTTATCGGTGAGCAGACCAGTCAATATTTGAGGCTGTTAGCACTGCGTATGCGAGTTCACAATTTCGAGCTTCTGCCCTGACGCAACACCTCGAACAAGAAGACAGTTACTGGGTGTTTTTCGGGATCGATCGCTGGCACTGAAGCAAAGAGATGCTTGTCTTGCTTACATCGTCCGCGGAAGAGTCCCACTGTGGCTTTTCAGAGCTGGAACGAGATCCTGGATAGTTAGCGCCTCGAACAACGATAGGCCTCCTGCCCCACAACTGGGGCTNGGGGCTTTCAACGTCACACGGTAGTGTGGCGGTCGTACTGCTTACCACAATAAAGCTCATTGTATCGCCAGTAACTTTTTCACCAGCACCTGAAATTTCGCGTTCGCTGCCACTCCACGACGCATAAAAGGGGCAGAGTGTTCTGTATCGGTTTCCTTTTCCCCGTCCAGTTGGGAAACGTTCCCCCCCAATCCGCTGGTTTGCTTTGCCCAGGAACGGCCTGAAGAGTCAAACCTGCTCTGGGGAGACCTGAACCAGTTTCTTGGGGGGTTCAGGGTGCTGAACCGTGGCTGGACCTATCGGGCTCATCACTTTCCTTGACACCCGAGCTGCCAGCGAGCCTGCGGCTGAAAGGGGGGACATCTGTCCTCTCTTGCGTAAACAGACTGTTCCATAGGTAATAAATATGACAAACAAGACGGCAACAAACGCCGCGTGCAGTGTTCGCGCCTCTGGCGGTCGCGGCGCTGTGAAAGGCCTGGCGATGTTCTGCAACATCTCTTTGTGGCGCCCGTCATCCTGATTCGCTGGGGCATACGCGTGTGAATTGGAGTATACTTGATGCCACGTATGATATTCGACCTCAGAGTGCAAGCTAGCGCCATAGAACTGTATTCAGTGCCTAGCACGTACAGACATTGGAGCCATTGGTGAACGTCGTTGCATTGCCTGAAGCATCCAACAGAGAACTTGGAGTAATGCGCTGCAGCTATTTTCTGAACCCAAATTGTAAGGACAATCCAGCAGCTTTTGTTTGGAAGTCTATGTTCGTGCTCTGGAGTGATCGCCTTTGCACGGGGTGATGGTAGCCATTAAAAAGAAAACGACTTCCACGAGAGAGGGAGCCGATGCCAGACTGAAATCTTAGGTGGATTTATTACAATATATANGAAAACGACTTCCACGAGAGAGGGAGCCGATGCCAGACTGAAATCTTAGGTGGATTTATTACAATATATAAAGCGTTCTATGCGTGTTACATAGATGGTGGGTTATAGATGGAAATACCCGGGGGTGCGTCACATCCTCCGATACCAACCGGAGATCGGAACTTAGTCGACTCCCGAAGCCAGGAGGGCACGGTGGATCGCAGCATAAAAAACATTGACAATCAACGAAGTTCATCAAATCAAGGTTTTTACTAAGGTGTTCCGCTACTAGTTTAATGAGCTGAACGATGCGACAGGTCGAACCTGTTGGGTAAAGACTCGCTGGCGCTGCCAGTGTCCCAGATGCTCGCTACGATGTGTGGCTACCCCTTCATATGTAGTAGAAGAGAGGACCAAATTAACGCCAGCATAGCAGGTTCTATACCTTATCGCAGTGAAGAAGTTACACATTGGCACTTCTTACTGCCCTTAACGGTCGGCGCGTTGGCCAGTTGCGACCAGGTACTAATGCTGTCTGCTGGCTCCCCCCCCGCTATTTCGGAACTAGAGGAGCTTTCATTAGAATTCGGATGTTGATTAGTCCAGGACTTTGCTTCATCCCTCTATTTGAGTCGCCCCATCTTGATATTTGAACATTTAGCCCAGAAACTTTGTCCGCTTCCGTCAGTTCTTCCATTGGTAGTTCCCTTGCCCTCAGCAGCCTTACTAGAGAGCGTCAATTCATCTACGGGCGTCAATATATCTGGTCCATATCTTACCGGAAGACGTCCGTCAGCCACTGCAAAAGTGCAGCACTGCGTTAACAACGCTGGTGCCTGTTTATATTATTCATGTCATCGCAATTCCCCTGGGTATACGGAATTCTCGAATTCCACCAGTGCGCAGGTTGCCTGCAGGCCTTCCTCACTTTTTCTAAACCGCGTGCGGCTGGAGCAAATATGGCACATGACCCACATCTGTGCCCCGTCGGTGCGCAAGTGCCATTTCAAANCGTGCGGCTGGAGCAAATATGGCACATGACCCACATCTGTGCCCCGTCGGTGCGCAAGTGCCATTTCAAAACCGGTGACTTGTTGACTGTTTTGTTGACGGCGCGCTCTCCTGTCCACTTGGCTTAATGGAATTGTGCCACTCACTGGAGTCTTTTCGCCAATTGTCCCACTTGGCGTTCTTGAACACTGTCGACCTGGGTGACAGAAAAATTGCCAATTTTAAGCCAACCACAAGTTGCAAAGGGGGCCTTCGCCCAATCCTGAAGTAGTCCAACGCAACGTTCAGCGCATTTAAGATGGCAGAACTCCAGCACGGCCTCCTCATCACTGTTTCACTTGACCCCCCGCGGTACCTTGCATTTTCTATATGATGCACTATCGAGGGCCACCACGAATCCTTCTTGGAAGCATCTCCAAGCACTTCTGCTGCACAGTATAGCGTATCGAGAATCAGAAACACCCTTCCCAAAGTTTCGACAGCATATGATGTCGTGGAAGGTCGATTATGAGCCGGCATGTGGGTGGATGCATATCCGGACAAGCGCTCCGTGTAGTCCAAAAGCTTTTCAAGCTCTTCTTTGGTCAGCCGCAGCTTCTTCAGCAAGCGCCTGCACTCCGAAAGCAACGGCACTGCACTTGCGTGACAAACATACGATGATGCTGCCTTCTCTTCGCTAAAACTTCGCCCGCTAAGGTTTTGCTGCCTTCCGGCATGACGGTAAAACGGATGAGTTCTCAAAACCTCGTGAGACACCCCTCCAAGGATTTCTCCAAGATACCCAAACGCAGCAATGAGGCCCTCTGTTGCGGAGCGCGCCCGCGAAGATAGCAACTGGGCAAACCATACCACAGTGACAACACAGTTTCCCGTCCCACTGCAATTCTCTATTAGCAAAGCAACAATCGCAACTGCTGTATCTCGACAAGCAGCACAGACGTTTAATGAAGGGAATGGCAAGCGAGAATAGCAAGCGAGTCCAACGCTTGGCTTGCTCCGCAAATACCACAGCACATAAAAAAGGCCCACCTGTTCAGTTTGTTCGACTGCCTGCAGCGAGTCCTCAGTCATGGTTCCTACAGAATCCTGGATGGCACTGCTGTCCGCGGTGGATGGCAATGAGCTTCGAACAACGGTTGTTTCCACTGTACTTGCTGCCATTCCCTGCTCAGGAGCCGTGGACTGCTCAGGGGCACGTGCTCGAAGCGATACATCAGCGGACTGTTATTCCACAACACGCATTTAACACCCAGAAATCCACCGCTCGTCAACAGAAGCACGAGGGGGCAAGCGCCGTTGGATAGAGCGGAACTATTGGGCAACAGTCGCTGAGATTAGACGGATTTCCACCTGGGCAGCCTCTCCAAAGAACTTATTTGTGACGCCTCAGTCAAGGAAAAATTGCCCACCTGTTTAGCTGGCCCTCCTGTCTGCAGTGATACCTCAGCTGTGGCACTTGAAGGAAGCCGCATGGCACTGCTGCCCGAGGTTGATGACAGCAAGCTTCGAAGAAAGGAAGATTCCACCGCGCTGGTTTCTATTTCGTGCGTAGGACGCGTGGAAGGTTCAGTTGAAGACATTCGAAGCCAAGCTG